CGCACTGCAGACGTGGGAAGGCTCAGCCGGACCTGGAAGGAAGCCCCTGGAAGGAGTCCTCTGGAAGGAACCCCCTGGAAGCAATCCCCTGGGAGGCATCCCCCTGGAAGCAATCCCCTGGAAGGAATCCCCTGGAAGCAATCCCCTGGGAAGGAATCCCATGGAAGGAATCCTCTGGAAGCAATCCCCTGGAAGCAATGCCCTGGAAGGAATCCCCTGGAAAGAATCCTCTGGAAGGAATCCCCTGGAAGCAATCCCCTGGAAGCAATCCCCTGGAAGCAATCCCCTGGGAGCAATCCCCTGGAAGCAATCCCCTGGAAGCAATCCCCTGGAAGCAATCCCCTGGAAGCTATCCCCTGGAAGCAATCCCGTGGAATGAATGCCCTGGAATCAATCCCCTTGAAGGCATCCCCTGGAATGAATACCCTGGAACGCACACTGCGATGGACTGGATATGGACCCCTCGGGGCACGTCCATACGGATGTACATTGGACCACCAACTGCTGGTGCGAGGTGGGGTGGGGTGGGGGAGGGGAAGGGGCCGAAGGGGGTGTCCCGTGTCGCGGTCCTACTTGCGTGCCCTCAGGTTGCTATGGTTACGCGATAAGAGCGCAATCCGTCCAAACACACACGCGCGCGCACTTACACACACACACACACACTCACACACGCACGAGCACACTCTTACTCGCACACAGAGCATTTGCCTCGAGGCGCCTTATCAAAGTGGCCCCGTTGCGCACGCAGCCCGGATGCACCGCGTCGTCGTGTCGTCGCGGTGCTCACTGTGCCTGCCTGGCCATACTGCGAGTGGGGGCTCGTAGTCGCTTGAGGCTCTTCCCCACCGGGATAAAGTGTCACCTTAGTAAGGACGGCCATGTCTCGTTTTGCAGTGCAGGCGGGCATGTGTCGGGCCCGAAATGGCATACGATCATGTGTGGTCTAGCCCTTAATGGTAATGGAGCTGGACCCGCCCGTCGAGCGCCGCCGCCTTGCTCGGTTGCCTAGCCCGGACTTGGCAGGCGCCTCGGCCGCGCGCCGCACAGTGAGCCAGAAACCGGCGGAGGCGGCCAAAATTCGAGATGCGTTTTGAGCTTCAGAGTCGCTAAATGGGACTTGAACCGACCGTGTGACCCCACCAATGGATTGCTCTCAGGACGAGGAATCGATTGGTGGGGTCACACGTTCGGTTCGAGTCCTGCATAGTGACTCTGGAGCTCAAAACGCGTCTCGAATTTTGGCCGTCTCCGCCGGTTTCTGGCCCACTGTGCGCCGCCGCACTGTCAAACCAAGTGTGGAGGACGCCACACTGCCTAGTGCGGAGTGATTCTCCACTGTTAGACTTGTGGCGTTTGCAGTCTCCACACTTCAAAGTGTGGAGCAGCTCACAGAGCCCCTGTCTCATGGCATGGTGCAAACGTGGAGAGCTCTGAAGTGTGCAAACTCCTCCACTACACCAAGGGCGGGGTTCTCCACACTTGGTTTCCGTGCCGACTTTGAACGCGTTTTTAGCAGACGATGCTCTTACTTTAAAACATACCTAAAACCGAGGGGGGAACAGCTTCACAGATTCATTGTACAAAATTTGACCACATTCCACATTCAGGTGGCAGAAACGCCTGTAAGTAGGCAACACGTGTGGCAAAAACGTCGGAAATCTTGCACATTCTTGCACATTCACACAATCATTGTACATAAAATTTGACAGTGGGTCACCCCTCGCCTAAAACTGCAAGACACATAAAGGTGTCAGCTTGCTTTCTTCACCAAACGGGGCGGGGGACGAGGGATGGCGGGGCTTCGGACGGATAGGCGCGCCGCGGGGCAAAGAAGCTTTGATCCGGTCCATTTCCGGCCTGCGAGAAGGCTTCATTTACTAGAAGAACGCCGCTAGCGCCGCCAGCGCGCCTAGCGGACAGAATGGCAAGCGGCGCGTGACCGCCAAGGCATCGCCAAGGCATCGCCAAGGCATCGCCAAGGGCTGCCCTGCCGAGGCGCGGCCCTGGCGGCCCCGGCGGCCCTGGCCATGGTCATGTTCCCCGCCACTTGCTTCGTGCGGCCAGGCCCGTCTCTGTCTCCCTCACTCACTCCCCTACGGGCCGCCCGGGCGCGCCCCGCGAGTGCGAGAGAGACAGGCCGACGAGACGCCGTGGCGCTGCAGCGCGCTGGAATGCCATCGACAGCAGACTCGCTGCAACGCGGCGGACGCGACGACGCGGCGCAGCGGTGCTTTCTGTCTCTCTCGCACTCACGGGGCGTTCCGCAGGAATGTGAGAGAGACGGAGCGACGAAAGCGGTGTTCGGAACCAGTCCGCGGGCCGCATGGCCGCGAACCGGGCGAGGAGGCTGGCCACCGCCGCGAAGGAGCGCCGGTAGTGTAGCTCGGCCTGCATCGAGGGGGGCAGCAAGGCGAGCAGCGCGAGCAGCGTCCGCCCAGCAGACTCGGAGTCGGAGGTATGCGGCGCCGGGGCTTGGCATCGTGCTTGGCCTGGGCCCGCGGCGGGGCGGGGCGGGGCGCGGCGGGGCGGGGCGGGGCGGGGCGGGGCGGGGCGGCCAGGCGGCCGCGGGGTGACTTGGCACGTCTGGCCGCCACGGCGCGGCCGCGGTTCGCGATGGCTCCGGGACGCGTCGGCTCGGCCGGCGCAGCCTGCGTGGAGCCAGCCTGGAATTCGGCCGGAGGAGCGGCCCGGGACCGGCCGGACCAGGACGGCCAGGACGACCGGGAGGCCTCTCTAGAACGGAGGCCTCTCTAGGACGGAGGCCTCTCTAGGACGGAGGCCTCTCTAGGACGGAGGCCTCTCTAGGACGGAGGCCTCTCTAGAACGGAGGGCTCTCTAGGACGGAGGGCTCTCTAGGACGGAGGCCTCTCTAGGACGGAGGCCTCTCTAGGACGGAGGCCTCTCTAGGACGGAGGCATCTCTAGCATCTCTAGGACGGAGGCCTCTCTAGGACGGAGGCATCTCTAGGACGGAGGCACCTCTAGGACGGAAGCCTTTAACGGAGACCTCTCTAGGACGGAGGCCTCTCTGGGACGGGGACTCTGGCCCGGCTGTGTCGCAGCGCGTCGCCTGTCGCGCCGGCTGCTCCTGCTCGCAGTGCTAGCCCGCTGGGCCAAGGACGTCGTTTGGGCAAAAACCATCGCCACGCCGGCCGTGCGGCCATGCCCCGCGCACGCTGCCGGCGAGGAGGAGGAGAAGAAGAAGAAGCTAGACGACAAAAAGTCAAGGCAGCGTATCAGCCTGTCCCCCTTACACTGTCTGTCTGTCTGTCTGTCTGCCTCTGTCTGTCTGTCTGTCTGTCTGTCTGTCTCTCTCTCTCTCTCTCTCTCTCTCTCTCTCTCTCTCTCTCTCTCTCTCTCTCTCTCTCTCTCTCCTCACACACACACGCACACATACACGCGCGCAACACAATTCACACGAGCTAGCGAGCTAGCTAGCCTCCATTCGATCTGCAGCGGCCTGTGCGGCACACCATGAGACCAGGGGTAATGGACTCGCAACGGAGCTGGCCGGAATCTCTGCTTTGCTAATTGTAGTTCACTATTTCTCCGACTAAATATGCGAGTTTTGAGATGGCTCGGGCATTTTTGGAAAGAAGACATCTTAAAGTATGCCCTAAATTCAAAAAAGTTTCAATTTTCCCACCAGGGCTCGAACAGGAACAGCTTAACCGTTGCGCTACTCAAATGCGCAGGGCGACGGGCATGGTGCCAGGGGCGACGCAGGGGGGGCGCCTCTTCAACTTGCGCTAGAAGCTTCCGGATGCCGCAAAAGTGATGGGACAAGTGGTGCACCTTGATATATGTCGAAGACAAACTATGTTCCATCACTTTTGCGGCATCGGGAAGCTTCTATCGCAAGTTGAAGATGCGTCCCCCCTGCGTCGCCCCTGGCACCATGCCCGTCGCCCTGCGCATTTGAGTAGCGCAACGGCGAAGCTGTTCCTGTTCGAGCCCTGGTGGGAAAGTTCAAACTTTTTTGAATTTAGGGCATACTTTAAGATGTCTTCTTTCCGAAAATGCCCAACCCATCTCAAAAATCGCATATTTAGTCGGAGAAATAGTGAACTACAATTAGCAAGGCAGAGATTCCGGCCAGCTCCGTTGCGAGTCCATTACCCCTAGTCTCATGGGCACACTGTGCGGCCCGCGGCCTTAGCTTATTGGCTGCGTCCGGTGCGTCTAGTTGGCGGGGGGGCAGGAAGGCGGCAGGAAGGCAGCAGTGCAGCAGGATACGGGGGTCGTCCGTAACTCCGTAACTCGCAACGCCTCTGCGCGGCCCCCGGCCGGCCGGCACCCATGTAGGGAAGGGCTTGTGTTTCGTCCTTTGGGCTACACGCAGCTAGACGGCGGCGGCAGGGGCCGGGAAGGGGCCGGGAGGGGCCAGCGCCGCGCGGCCAGAGCGGCGGCAGACTGATTCCGAGAGTCGCTGTCTCTCTCGCACGCCTGCGGCGGCCCGTATGGTTGCGAGAGGGACAGAGCGACGAAAACGACTCTCGGATTCAGTCTGCAGAGCGGCGGGGCGGCGGGGCGGCGGAGCCATGGCAGCTTAGCGGGGAGGCCGCGCTATCCGGGCGGGCCGCCAGCGCCGCCAGCGCCGCCAGTCTAGAAATAGTTGCAGCAGACAGACAGCGGTGGGCGTAGCGCCATTTCCGCGCTGCCCCATCCACTGACCCCAGTCGCAGCGGCGGCGTGGCGGCGCGGCGCAGCGCGGCGCCGGCCGGCCCGGCTTGTTCACCTGCAAGCGCGCCGCCGCGCCCCGCCCCGCCCCGCCCCGCCCCGCCCCGCCCCGCCCCGCCCCGCCTCGCCCCGCCCCGCCCCGCCCCGCCCCGCCACCACGCACGTCGCGCCACACGCTCAAAGGCGGCGCGGCGCGACACTGTGAAACCAGGTGTGGAGAACTCCACTCTGTAAGTGCGGAGGGGTGGACTTTGCAGTCTCCGCACCGCAGAGTTCGCACTTCCAGTGTGGCGTTCTCCACGTTTGAACCGAGTTCGTACCATGCCAAGAGATAGGGCCTCCGTGAGGTGCTCCACACTTGATGTGTGGAGGCTGCAAACTCCACGCGTCCGAGTGTGGAGCCTCACTCCGCACCGGGCAGTGTGGACGTCCTCGCAGTTGGTTTGGCAGCGGACGCGCGAAACCGAGCGCCACCCCGAGGGCCACCCCGAGGGCCACCCCGAGAGCCACCCCGAGGGCCACCCCGAGGGCCACCCCGAGGGCCACCCCGAGGGCCACCCCGATGGCCACCCCGAGGGCCACCCCGAGGGCCACCCCGAGGGCCACCCCGAGGGCCACCCCGAGGGCCACCCCGAGGGCCACCCCGAGGGCCACCCCGAGGGCCACCCCGAGGGCCACCCCGAGGGCCACCCCGATGGCCACCCCGAGGGCCACCCCGAGGGCCACCCCGAGGGCCACCCCGAGGGCCACCCCGAGGGCCACCCCGAGGGCCACCCCGAGGGCCACCCCGAGGGCCACCCCGAGGGCCACCCCGAGGGCCACCCCGAGGGCCACCCCGAGGGCCACCCCGAGGGCCACCCCGAGGGCCACCCCGAGGGCCACCCCGAGGGCCACCCCGAGGGCCACCCCGAGGGCCACCCCGAGGGCCACCCCGAGGGCCACCCCGAGGGCCACCCCGAGGGCCACCCCGAGGGCCACCCCGAGGGCCACCCCGAGGGCCACCCCGAGGGCCACCCCGAGGGTCACCCCGAGGGCCACCCCGAGGGCCACCCCGAGGGCCACCCCGAGGGCCACCCCGAGGGCCACCCCGAGGGCCACCCCGAGGGCCACCCCGAGGGCCACCCCGAGGGCCATCCCGAGGGCTGCTGCGGCTGCGCCAGGCTGCGCCCTGCAGGCACCCTGCCCTGCGCCCTTTGGCGCTCTTCAGCTGTTCCACGTGTGTCTTTGAGGCGCAAAGTATCGAGCGGCCAGCAGCCCTTTTCTTTGCGCGGCCATGGGCGGCGGGGCGCAGGGCGCGACGCCACCCCGCCGGCCGCCCCTGCCGCCCCACCCTCGCGGCCCCCGCGCCCCGAACCCGGCGAACCTCGAATGCAACAACGGCCAACGCCTTCGCCCGGGGCTGGAACGGCTGGAACCCACGCCCTGCGCTTGCCGGCGCGCAGCTCCATTCCGATCAGCGGGGTTCGCCCACTGTCCAACGGTCCCTCCCTCTCTCTCCCTCCCGTGCGGCACGTCCCATGAGCGTGAGAGAGACAGAGTGACGAGGGCACTGTTCGGAAGCAGCCTGCAGCTTTGGGCCCGCGCAGCGCCCTGCGGCCTGCGCCGGGGCGCGCTGGGGCGCTCCATCCCACAGCTTTTCTAAATGTAGCCAGGGGCTTCGCTTCGCTGCTTCGCTCGGCGCCCCGTTCAGTGCTTGGCCCGCGATGGGCCGGTACGGCCGGCACCGTGGCGGAAGCCCTTGCGGGTGCACCCCACCCCGCCCCGCCCCGCCCGGGGTGCACGCCCCGCGACCCGGTGGTGGAACCTAACCTGAGCGCCGCGCACGGGCACGAGAGGCACGAGGCAAGACCCCCCCCCCCTAAGGTCATATGGAAGATAGGTCTGCGCAACCGAGATGCATGCTGGGAGACCGGGCAGCTAATCCCTCCCGAATCCGTCGCCGGCTGCAGCGGAGGACCGCCTACCTGCCTGCCAGCCTGCCTGCCGGCTTGCCCGGTCTCCCAGCATGCATCTCGGTTGCGCAGACCTATCTTCCATATGACCTTACCCCCCCCCCCCCCCCCCCGAGGGGCCCGTCGGCCTGCAGACTGATTCCGAGAGTCGTTTTCGTCGCTCTGTGACTCTCGCACTCATGGGGCGTCCCGAATGGGTGCCGGAGGGACAGAGCGACAAAAACGACTCTCGGAATCAGTCTGCTGGCGGCGAGGCGGCCGCCGACGACACATGGCCGGGGAAGGACGAAGCTGCACGGCGGCCTCACGGCCTGACGGCCTGACGGGCTGACCTCCGCGGGGGGAGGGGCTGAGGGCGGTGCCCCTACCCCTCCCCCGCCCCGCCCCAAATGACTTCATAACGGCCCACTTGACCAAATCGTCCACACTGGACCAGTTCGTCCTGATCCTCCTGAACAGCGTCCTCGTTGACATGAACCGGAAGAGCGAAGGGCGAAGCAAAAGCCGCCTCCCCGACACGGCCACGCCGCGCCAGGTCGGATTCGCACCGAACGCCCAAGCCAGGGCGAGCGGGCCTGCGGCACGACCGACGTCAACGCGGACACGAATCCCGAGTCTGCCGTGAAATCGCACTCACCTTGTCAGTCCTGGAAATCCAGGTCGGGGCGCGGCGCCACGAGGCCGGAGTGAGGTTAGGTTGCCGCGTGCCCCGCCCGGCCCCGCCCCCGGTCGGTCGCACCGCACTGCCGGGGGCCTCGCCGTCCAGGGCGGGGCACTCGTAGACCTCCTCTCCAAGTGCGTGGGCTGCTGCTCCGCGTAAGGGTCCCGGACACCGACACGCGCCGACGGCACGCCGACGGAGGTCCAAGGCTCCCCGCCGCGAGGGACCCAACCCACCTCCAGCTGACTGGGACGGGGCGACGGGGACGGAAGGGTGGTGGTTGTGGGGCGGAGGGCGAGGGCGGCGGGGCGGCGCCTGCACTGCTCGCTGCGCTGGCCGCTGGCGGTGTTGGCCGAGGGACCGCCCCGATCTCTGCGGCCAGCGTCGCAGAGCAGAGGCAACCCCTTCCGTTTTCAGGCCGCGTCAAACTCGGGTTCCGCGACCCGAGCGTCGTTTCTCGGAACGCGGTTCATTTTTGGGCGTGCCGTTAATGCTGTTTAGTGACTCGGGAACGTGGATGCGACGGGGAAGGGAGCGGATTGCGGAGCTGAGCCGGGGGGCGGGGTGGGGCGGGGCTTCTCTAAAAATAGAGGAAGGAAACGGAACACAGTGACAGTGGGGAGGAAGCTCGCTTGCCGTTCGCCACTGCACTGCCCAGCACTCGCTTAATAGTCGAGTCTCTCGCTTAATAGTCGAGTCTCAGAGTCACAGCCGTCACAGCACTGTATACGCGTCCTTATAAAGCAGAAATTTCACAAATTTTCCAGTTGCACGGTCTGAATTTGGCTTTGACCGCCTGAGTCCGAAGGATCGTTTCGTCGCTCTGTCTCTGTTGGGGCGTTCCGCAGGGGAGCGAGAGCGAGAGAGAGAGAGAGAGAGCGACGAAACGACACTCCGGAAACAAGCGGTAGGGCGGTGGAGTGTCGCCGAGCTGGAGAGAGGGAGCAGTGGGAGCCGCCATGGGAGCCACACCATCGAGGCCCACTTGCTGCACCAGGTGACGTCTGTGTCAGGCAATGTTGTCAGCAGACTGATTTTCGAGAGGCATTTCTCGTCGCTGTCTCTTTCACATCTGTACGGGACGCCTAATGAGTGCGAGAGAGACAGACGACTCTCGGAATCGGTCGAATCAGTCTGCAGGGAAGGGCGTGTGCAAAAAGGAGCCCAAACGGGTGTGCAGCGGCCTGGTCTGCCTCTCATCCTGCCTCCTAGGCAACCACTCAACCATTGTGGCGGAAAGCTGCCTGCCGGTGAGTTGGGCCTCGTTTCGGACTCTGAACTGGTCGGGGACGACGTCGTCGCCGTGCTCGCTGTGCCGGCGGCCGCGGCGTTCGCGGATCACGCTGTGGCCCACGGCGTCGCAGTGGGTGCTGCAGACTGATTCCGAGAGTCGTTTTCGTCGCTCTGTCTCTCTCGCACTCATGGGGCGTTCTTGTGGGTAAGAGAGAGAGAGAGACAGGGCGACTAGAGCGACTCTCGGAATCAGTCTGCTGGCTGGCACCGCTGGGTGCAGCTGGCCGCTTGTCTGGCAACGCGCAGAGAGACACGGACAGATAGAGCGGCGCAGAGAGAGCGAGAGAGACGGACAGATAGAGCGGTGCAGAGAGAGCGGGAGAGACAGACAGAAGATAGAGGGGCGCAGAGGGCGGGGGCGGGGTGCCTCGCTATTCCTAGATGCGCCCAGGCAAGCCAGGCAAGCTAGACAAGCCACGGCAGGTCTAGGGGCAAGTTGCCCGGGCTTATTTGAGGGCGGCCAGCCTCCTTGGGCTCCTCGGCGATCACCGAGACGCGGCCTGCCGGGGCCACCAGGGCCTGCACTGGGTGGCGGAGGACGGCGAAGACGGCCAGTCGGCCGCCTCAACGCACCCCGCTACCCGATTGTTGCCGAGAGTCGTTTCCGTCACTCTGTCTCTCTCGCACCTGCACGGGCTGTTCCATGAGAGACAGAGCGACGAAAACGACCCTCGAAATCAGTCAGCGGCACGGGGTGTCGGCGCGTCGGCGAGCGGCACGGCGGCCAGGCCTCGCCGGGCCCACGCCGCGGACGCGGGACGCGGACGCCGCCGCGGTGGACCGAGAGGCTGGGCTGCGCCATGGCTTCGCGCCGCGCGTGACGTCACCCCTTGCTCAAGACGCCGTCCAGGACGGCAAGCCGCGCAGCCGCCGCGGCAAGCCGGGACGGGACGGTCGGTGGGGCCCATGCCGGGATGGGGCCCAATGGGGCTCGGCCGGCGCGGCTGGCGCTGGGCGGGGCCCGTGTTGGGTTGCCAGCCACAGACTGATGCCGAGTGGGAGGTCTCTCCCTCGCTCTCATGGGGCGCTCCGTACCGGTGCGAGAGAGACAGACCGACGCCCGCACTGGCAGCCTCCACTCGAGTGGCCGGGCCAGCACCCGAGAGTCGTTTTCGTCGCTCTGTCTCTCTCGCACTCATGGGCCGTCCCGTGTAGGTGCGAGAGAGACAGAGCGACGAAAACGACTCTCGGAATCAGTCTGCAGGCCGCGATACGCCGGGCCGAGCGGCACCGACACCGACAAAGAGGCAGCCTGCCAAAGCCGATGCTGCGCCGTGGCCGCGCTGCCACGCTGCTACGCCGATGCCGGGCACGGCGGGCAGCGGGCACAGCGCGGAGGAGGGAGGGGCACCCGATGGGGCACAAGACACTGTGTGTGTGTGTGTGTGTGTTTGGGGCTCCTCGTGGGGCGTCCACGGCGGACCAGGAGGACAACCCGGAGTGCACATGTCCTTGAGGCGTCCTGTGGTGTCAGTCAGCAGGGGGATTCCCAGGGTTGCCCACCCCCGCCCGGCGGCCCTGCGCTCCTCTGGAATCGTTTATCGGAGGGGGCTGTCACACCCTTGACCTGCCTCCAGGCGGAGTGTCATGCACTGAGAAAACCTTACAAACTATTTTGGGCCTTACACAGAAAAGTAGTTTGTATAACAAAGTATTTTGAGCATACATAAGCTTACAAAGAAAGTACTTCGTAATTTACGAACTATTTCTTCGTATAACAAAGTATTTTAGTTTGTTATATGTATGCTCAAAATACTTCGTAAGGTTTTAAGAGTGTGCGTGTTACCTACCTTCCGGGTGGGCAATGACCCTGCCCCCCCCCCTCCCCTTCCCCCCGAGACGCCAATGAAGGGCTCCTCAGAAGTCCGTAGCACTGGACAGACTTGCACTTGCGACCGCGTGCTTCAGGGTGTGCAAAGTTGGCTCACTTCTCACACTGTGAGTGATGAATCGATGAACAGGTCCGGTCCCGCTCGCAAGTGCATCTCGCTGTACTGCCATAGTGAAATTTGCGCTAGGTGGTGTACGCGAGCCCTAAGATGTGTTCACAGGTCAGGCGCGGCTCCAGAATTTCTGCCAAGGGGAGGGTTTTCCTACTCACAGGGGGCAAAGTAGTGCCTTTAACGTACCTTCCACACTCCCCATTTCCTACAGAGAAATGCCGTGCAGTCATAATACTAAGCTAATTCTCAGTACTTTGCGACACAAATCTGTCATAATACAGAGAAATTCGTTCGTAATATGAAGAAATTGGTCATAAGTTACTGAGAACTCTTCACCATAGGTTACTACCCTCGCGGCACATTCATAGTACTACGCTATTTGTTCGTATTACGAAGAAAAAGCTCAGTAGAATATTGGGAGTGCAGGGGAGGGGTAATTTCCCCCAGTAACTTCCCCCTGGTGCCACGCCTGTCACAGACCAGCCAACAAGGCCCAGCCGTAATTTTCCTGGAATCGCAGCGAGATGAACAATAGTCCACCGATCACTCCCGAGAACAGGGGTGAGCTTACACTCCCAATTTCCTACTGAGAAATGCCGTGCTGTCATAATACTAAGCGAATTCTCAGTACTTTACGACACAAATCTGTCATAATACAGAGAAATTTGTTCGTAATATGAAGAAAGTGGTCATAAGTTACTGAGAACGCTTCACCATAGGTTACTACCTTCGCTGTGCTGTCATAATACTAAGCTTTTTGTTCGTAATACGAAGAAAAAGCTCAGTAGGAAATTGGGAGTGTAACTTGACGCACGCCCACGCGTGGGTGGAGGGTGGCATTGGCATTGACAGGCGGGGAAGGCCCCAGGCCCCTCGGGCGTCCCTGGTTGACAACTACATGGAACTCGCTTCTGCCTTCCACAAAAGAGGGTTCCTTGTGCGTTTGGTGTGTGAGGGGTAGACAGGACAACCCCTGGAAGAAATGTAGTAAAACGAGTGGCAAGGTGTGACTTGGGTGGCAATCAAGTGACTCTTTAGGCAAGCCAGAGGCAAGGTTGCTACTGAGTGGCATGGGCATGTAGGTGGTCGAGTGGCACTGAAGAGCCCAGTGGCACAGAGGCAATCGATCCTTGACTAAGGTGAATTTTAGTGACAAAGCGGAGGATTGCTTAGTAGGAGGCTTGCCGCCAATCAACTGGATGCCAACAGATTGCGCCCACCAATCTTCACTAAGGCACGATGTTCTCAGGGAAATGGTTTCGTGCCAAATAGCTGAGGCACTTGCAGGAATCAGCACCTACGCTGCATCTGGTTATGCCAGTTGAAATCAGTTGTAGTAAATCAGTTGGAAATGGAAACTCAAGTCCTGGCCTTGGTCGCAAATCTTGACCAAAGAGATGTAGGGCAAGCTTCATAGACGCACTGGCTTGTGACACAGCCTTCTGTCTTGCAAAAGTCAAATGTGCTAGAATTTCGAGGAATGATTAAATTTGAGCAACTCCACCAAGTCATTAGTCCATTTGAAACTGTTTACATCCACTCAAGCCCCTCAATCCACCCAGTCTCCTGCATGCCACTTCGAGCCCTGCTGACCATTTCAACACCTCGCTACTTAAAATGTCCAAATCTACTTGGATGCCACCTAGCTTAAAGGTAACTGTGAGGTGACACTTAAGCCAAGCAGCGCCACATCCTTTTTTTCCCAGGGCCACCAAACCCATTAACAATATTGAATGAACACTAGCATACACTTTTCTCATTCTTATAGTTCTATATTTATGCATAAGAGACAAAACAGTGGAGCATATGACAAATAAAGGTAAGTGGAATATTTCAGTTTCTCGCTAGTAATTTTCTTCCGTCAACAGGAACGGTTGAAACATTAAAAAGATAGAAGAGGCAAAATTGGTTCCTCTTTACTGGAATGGTTAAAATGGTTGGAAACATCACATAATTTGTTCTGGTGGAAAATATTTGTGAGAAAGAAAGACAAACGGTTTCTGCAGTTTGCTTGATTAATTACACCAGAGGAGGTCTTGTCTAACCTTTCAGTCTTAAAATGTCCTTTAAAAATTCATTACTACATTACATAAGATCACAATAGAAGGAAACCCCAATGTTTTCAGAGTAATAAGTAAATCAAATTATGTTTGTAGCGTTTGCAGCATTGGCTGAAGGCTGTGCTGGTTTAGACATGATGTTTGCAACCTGAAAGACAAAATAAATTTTTGAAAACAAGCATTTCCTTAAATAGATGAATACACAAACAACAATAATAATAATAATAATAATAATAGAAAACTAACATCCCTCAATCATACTCACATTTTGAATGACTTGTCGCCTGAAAAATTCAGTCACATTTGTTGACATGCTCTTTTCTGATCCAAAGCGACATTTGACATATCCATACAAGTTGGCTCCATGAAGTACGATTGCAATGCTCACAACCAGCTGTTAGGGAGGCAAAAGGATGCAAAAATTAGCAACTGTAATGAGTTTTACAAGCTGTCATTGACATTCCTACTCCTCTCCTTATTTATAATTGATATCAAAAAGCAAGGTTCTAAAGTAAATATTATATTAATTATGCCAAAGGTATAATGTAAGTTAAAAGCCTCTTACCATCCATTTAAATTTTAAACCAAACAAGCAAACCAGCCAGAAGATGACCCATAAGACAGGGAAAACTATGAGACCAGTCCAAAAATACCTCGACTCTCCAGGATGAATTCGATTCTGTGAAATGCCCTACAAAAAAGGGCAATGTCGTTTATCGATGGTACACATCAACAATTAAAAGAGTAGCAAACACTAATATACTAGGTGAAAAACTTTGTAGTTCAGTATCAAATGCAATACTAACCTTCCTGGATTCAAAAACCCAATGAGACTTTCCATTGTCATCCACATAATTCCACCACCTCAAACCAACAAGAAGTCTTCCTAAAATTTTAAAAATCAAAATATAGTACATATGAAATGTCTTTTCTGCAATTCATTTATATTAATGATCCAAAGGAATGCACTCCACTCACCTGTGACATTTTTGACAGTCCAGAAGTCCATGGACAAAAGTAATATTAAAAAGACAAATATGCCAATAAAACTGTCACTAAAAAATGATCCGAAAATATATGTTACTAGAGCTAAACCACGGAACACTAAATGAAAAAATATGACATATGGATGCCTGAAAAGGAGGACACAGTTAGTAAAATATAATCACATCTTAAGGATTCCTCGGTATACTTGAAATTTTACCTGAATGTATTCGAATTCAGGTTTTCCTCTTCACCAAAAGCAATCGTGTCATCTGTGTCATTCAATAATGGAACCTGGAACAGAGGATATGGAGAAATTATGAGAAGGTAAGGGTTCCGGAGCATGATTTAACTAACAATTTCAACAAACAGACAAGGAAAGTTTGTCATTAAAAACCTCTACATTTGACAATGTCTATGATTAACCATAGGAGTAGGTTAGGTTAACAACATTAACTAAGATTTTCGTTGTTGCAACTATGTGGCAATATCCTCACGGGGCGATTTATTTACAACTAAGTAACTATCAAACCGACTCATTCGAGTTAAAACCGTGGAAAAAAGAAGAAATGTTCAAATTTGACAACACTCACTTTAGCAGACGCCATGTTGACAACTGGATTCGTCACGGAGCAGAATGGTATGGAGGATCAGCTATGCACGAAAACCGAACTACCTTTCGCGGCGGCAGTTGGTGCTTGCTCCGGCCGCCACCGCGCGGCGCTCGCGTCGTTATGGCTCTGCCCCGGCCGCTGGGCGCCTCTGCCGGCCACTGTGAGGCATGGACCGGGGACGGTTTTTCGGCTGTAAGTCCTAAACCGTTCAAATTAAATGGGTAGAGTAAGCGAGGCGATTGTAGGTCTCAGTCTAAGCTACAATCGGCTCGCTTAGTATACCCCTCTAACTGCAGCGGCCTAGGAGCTAGGACTGAAAAACCATCTCCCGCCGGCGCCGGCAGCCCCAGGCCCCAGCCCCTGTCTATGCTTTTCTCTAGAGATAAAGAAAAACATTATACAATCCATTAATTTCTAATTAAATTGCATGATTGTGGTTGAATATTGTTCAGCTAAAATATGTTTAGGAAATGGTGTCATTACAATTGCTGGAATGCACATTGTTTTAGAAATCGAGTAGTCATGATATTTGACGGAATTTACTTTATGATGCCTGGTTTAAAAGCTTAAGTCAAAATGAAGACTTTTGAAACAAATCAGTACAGTTGTCGTGACTTAAAACTGAAATCATTAAAGATGTAGTCAGAAGGTGACTTTACGTTTGCTTTTCAAGTATTGCCTGATGGCACATGAAGCGTCAATGATTCTTTATTTTTTTATTTTTCAAAAAATCTGAGTGTAATGCTACTTTATGCTTTCAAGCACAGGTATTAAATTGAAGCCAATTTTATTAGGTTCCCACAGTTTCCTCGCTTGCCAAAGCTTTTGAGCCAGGCATTACAAATTAAGTTACGTCAATTACTATAGGTTCTTGATTTCTAAATCAAAAAGGCTATGCAGCCACTGTTATGGTTTTATGTCCTGATAACAATTAAACTATGCAATACCGAGACGCAATTATGCAGTTTTATTGAAAGCAACAGGATTGTTTTATATTTTTGTGATTGTAGTATGGACCATGGGGCCTGGGGCTGCCGGCGGGAGATGGTTTTTTAGTCCTAGCTCCTAGGCCGCTGCAGTTAGAGGGGTATACTAAGCGAGCCGATTGTAGCTTAGACTGAGACCTACAATCGCCTCGCTTACTCTACCCATTTAATTTGAACGGTTTAGGACTTACAGCCGAAAAACCGTCCCCGGTCCATGCCTCACAGTGGCCGGCAGAGGCGCCCAGCGGCCGGGGCAGAGCCATAACGACGCGAGCGCCGCGCGGTGGCGGCCGGAGCAAGCACCAAGTGCCGCCGCGAAAGGTAGTTCGCCGGCCCTATGCCGCTGGGCCTGATCCGTTGCTCCATACCATTCTGCTCCGTGGGATTCGTCTTCGTTTGTTCATTACGACTGTCATATGTTTCAGTACGGGAACTTAGTTTAAGTCCCCTTCCAAGTCGTGGAGTTTTAATTTGTCACGTTTAGTTCGCTGTCATAAATATTTTTCTCCTCATGAATATATTTCCGTCCATGTGTTAAAACTCCTTAGAATGAGCGAAGTTGACCGTGATGAATCTTGGAGTCATGTTTTTGAATTTTTGAAAAGACGGAACTGCCAAGGGATTGTAACTATTCCCCCGACTCTCAGCTCGCCGTGTTTTCGCGCGCACTTTACTTCACTTGACGTCTGTGTTGTGTTTTCTGTCTGTCAGTTCTAGTTGTCAAGCAAAATCGACTCTAGAACATATACCATGAGTGAATATAAACTCCATATGCTCGTGCAAGAGCTTATCAAAGAATTAGGGTGTGTCATTGTTTCTTAGATTTGTCTCCTTTCAAACCTTAACCTCGTTTCAATTCAAAAATATCAAATAATCGAATGTAAACACAAGTAATTTGATGCATAAATAGTTGCACCCAACCCTCCTGACCATTATTCTATACTCCAGATCTAGTTTGCTTGTCGATGCTCGAAGTAGTGGTTTCAGTACTGTTCCAATACAATTGCATCTTTGATTGATTCCAGGTCCACTTTACCAGCCTCTGAGTTTGTTGAAAACTTACAGCCAGATGGCAGCTCATCGTCAGTGGCTTTAACTCCAAATGTTCTACAATCTGGGTTGAGAGCTTTGGCTCATAACAGTCCAAATCCAGATGCATTTTTGGCCAAATACGAAGATTTGAAATCCAAAAAGTACCTCATTTTTCGCTCTTTGAAGCCTGTACTCTGCTTGATAATCTCACTAAGTCCTAATAATGATTTTGTTTTTCAGGGTCCATTGCTTACCAAATGTTGTTGCCACTCTCTCACTTATTGCACAGGATAAAAAGTTGCGAGAGTATTTACGCTTTAAAGCTTCGAAGCAGCTCAGGCCAGAGATGTTTGCTACCCCAAGTACCAGCAAAAGCTTGAGTACGCCAATCATGCCTAATTCCAGTGGAAAACCTGTCAATCTCGAAGAAGTTCCTGGGGTGAGTATTCTCTGATATTTATAGTTTTGTTTATGTCGTTGATAATATGTGAACTTCAATTTGTTCCTTATACTTACAGCTTGTTACAAGATTGAAGAAAGCTGCCTCAAGTTCAAGAAAACCAACACCTAGGCACAGGGAGGCTGAACGGAAAATTAGACATCCTAATTTTTTTGCACCAGAGGTGCCTGATTGGACCAAAATACGTCCAAAGATGAGCCGTGACTTTTCTTCAGATATTGTATTACCACATTCTCTTCATGACATTCCAAGGATGTCTCAAGAAACTAAACTTATGGAGGATTTGCTTTATGTTTTGTCTGGTGTTGAGGGTGAATACATCACACCTCAAGCACTTTTGGGCCCATATGAAGCTCGAACATTCATAATTGGAGAGGGTGTGGACCCCTCTTTGAAGCAACTTGTTGAAAAAATTCTGTCTCTTGCATCTTACTATTCTACAATTGTAAGGTTTATTGAAGAAAAATCCTCCTTTCATTGGGGTCAAGTGAATCAAGCTTTGGCTGGGGCCATGGATCAACTAATTCAAGAATACAAGGTATTTAGATTTCTTGTGTTAAGGTAAAGAACCATGCATTCTCAAAATTTTCCAATTGGAACTTTCCTAACCCAAACAAATTTGTTTTCAGGTATTTATAGCTCAGCTGGAAACACTCACCCGCCAAGAAAATGTGAACTTGCAGTCAATCTGGTTCTATGCTCAGCCCTCATTGTGTACCATGGAAATTGTTGCTAATATAGCATCAACAATCAATAAGGTCCTTACCTAAATATTATCCATAGTTTGTGAAAATGAAGTGACATGTGTAATGCTTTTACTATTATTTAAAAACCTCACTGTGTTTTTGGCAGGCTGGAGCCAAAGGTGGAAAGGTGCTGAGTTTGTTACATGAATATACTATATCCGCAGGCGATCCTAAAGTACAGAAACTTTGCACTCATTTAACACAAGCTGCGAGTGTTCCCTATATGGACATCCTTCAGGATTGGGTGTACATAGGAGTTATTCAGGATCCCTATGAAGAAGTAAGTTTTGCCAATGGTCTTGGGAGGGGCATATTCTTCTGAATTGCTCGGTGAATTTTTTCATCAGTGATCTTGTTCAGCTGGCTGAAGCCAGTTACAGGAAAGAAATTCCATCTTTCTGCCTTGGTGCTTATCTCAGTTTACCAAAAATTTCTCTAATGATCGCTAAGAGTGCATTGCTAACCTTTGCTCTTACTCTGATTTTTAGTTCCTTGTTGAAGACAATGAGGTCATTCAGAGGGAAGACCTTCCAGTTAATTACTCCGATGATTACTGGGAGAAATGTTACATAATATGCCGTGAACGTGTGCCTAGTTTCCTTGAAAAGATGTCTGATGTGATTCTAAGAACTGGAAAATACTTGAATGTCATCAGACAATGTGGTAGGCTTATGTTAATTTTCAATATGTCAAGTTCTTTCTTATTTCTTTAAAGTTTTTAAACATCTTTGAACAATCTTTCCCTCTTTTGATTTTATTTTCAGGTAAAAATGTCAAACCTCCGCAGACACAAAAATTGAAATATACTCTTTCTGAAAGGGAATATTGTGAAGCCATCGAACAGGCTTATTGTTTTGCTAGTCAGACACTTCTTAATCTGTTAATGAAAGAATACGATTTGATGGGAAGACTACGGTAAAATTTTTGATTACTGTCTCAAGTATGGCCAAGTATTACAAATAATTTTATTTGGTCTTATTTTATGGTTTTTTACAGGTCTGTGAAACACTACTTCCTCCATGATCAAGGCGATTTCATTGTGCAACTGATGGATATGTGTGAAGGAGAACTCAATAAAAATATTAATGATATTGTACCCCATCGGTTAGAATCTTTGCTTGAATTGGCACTGCGTACATCCGCAGCAAATAGTGACCCATACAAAGATGATATGAGGGCAGAACTCCTTCCTTTTGACCTTATTCACCAGATGTTTAAAATTCATGGTATCAGTAGCCAAGAGTTTTCAGGTACGGTAATCCTTAATGAATGAAGTTTGTGTTCGGAAACTTGCGATTTCTATGTACAATGATAATTGTTGCTTGCATTGCAGAGTCATGTCATGCTGACATGCTAACCGGGCTGGAATCATTTTCATTTGGGTATGAGGTCAAGTGGCCTGTGTCTCTGGTCCTAAACTTCAAGACGAAAGCCTGCTATCAGATGATCTTCAGACACCTTCTCTACTGCAAACACGTGGAGCGACTCCTTGGCAGGTGTGGCAGTATTAACCAACTCCCCAGTGCTGATAAAGTGGGATGTGAAAAGAAAAGAGTGCCCTAACACAGGGTGGTTTCCTTTTCAGGGTCTGGCGGTCCAACAAAGTTTGCAAGATGTTCCCTGTCTCATCATCGCAGAGTTACAGGCCTGCCTTTGCTTTGAGGCAAAGAATGCTGAACTGCGTCCAGAATCTTCAGTACTACATGATGATTGAAGTGATTGAACCAAACTGGCACAACTTCCTGGAGAGAATGAGCAAGGTAAGTTCCCTGCTCCACAATTTTCTATCTTATTTTCTGAATGAATCCGGAGTTGTCAATTGTCATGTGATTGGAGAGAAACGTCTGGGATATCACCTAGTCAGTGAGGGATGTGCTGTGATTGCGTGGACGGCGTTAGGTTTGCTGGCAGGGTGAAGGGAGGGTGTTGCAGCTTCAGTGCCCTGGAGGAAGTCGAGGAAGTGCTCCATCTCCGCCTCTGCACCTGTCCCTATTGATCTGGGCAGCATTGAGGTTACGTCTAGTCTATTAGTTGACTGCATTGATGAATCTAGCTCTCCAATTAGTTTAGGCCAAGTGACCACTGCCGGATACTGCACCACTGACTGAGATTGGCAGGTCTTTTGTGTATTAAAGGTAGCAGTCAAATGGTAATCAATTTAGTGTAGGTGATAAAGGAATGGAAAAATGAAAAAGAGACAATGAAAAAGTAAGCAAAATTTTATTTGAGAAGAAAACTGCATTGAAAGTAGAAACAGTTTAAAGCCTCCATGCTTGTAATTTACCATGAATGTGTAAATTTTCATTTCTGACTCACAATCTTTAATTTAAACTCCCTTTTGTTAAATCCTAGTGGGTATGGGTATTATTGAATGGAGAACAGTTCTGTATCTAGTGTACTTCTAGAATACAAACGTAGGAACAATGTCATTAAGCCTAGCTGTTACTGATGCGTTGCTTATCCTATCGACAAACCACTGTCACAATGTTCCGGTGGCATATTCCCTTTCTTGACTGAGTAAGAGTCCAAGGAATAAGTTGTGAGGTTCATGAAAGTAGCATGGACGGAAGCGGCATCTACTCGTATTCTTGAACTTATCACATTATCCTTTCGCAGTTGCCTTTCCCAGTCTGACATTCATGGGCAAAGGCCTGCTCCCCTTGAGTTTACCGCAAACTTTGTCCCAAGCCGGGGTAGTTAGGCAGGCAAAGGCCTGCATGCCGCAACCCGATGCCGGGCCTGGCCAGTGGGCCGGCCGCCTCACTGCTTGCCCTTGAGCAGGTCCAGCAGGTCCCGCTGGGCCTTCTCGAGGTGCTCGATGCGCTGCACGTAGGTGCGGATCTCCTTCTCGTAGTGCTCGGCCATCTTGCTGGCGGCGCTGGCCTCGGCGTCCTCGCTGCGCTTGACGAAGAGCTGCTTGACGTCCTTCATGATGGCGGGGTCCATGGACACCTGGCGGCACTGCGCGGCGCAGCTGCGCAGGTCGTCGTCGTCGTCGGCCATGGCGCGGTTGCGCGTGCAGCTGCGGCGCGTCGAGAATTCGATGCGGTTGCCCTGGTTGGGCAGCACGTGGATCTGGTGGTCGGGGACCACGTCGGGGAAGAGGTTGACCCTGCCGCCGAGGGTCTGCACGCAGGGCCGGCCCAGGCCGCACGCGTTGACGCAGCCGCTCACCGCGTCGCGCACCCGGCCCGCCAGCATGCTCTCCACGTAGGCCACCAGCTTGACGCGCGACACGTACGCCACCAGCTCGGCGTCCTCGCGGATGGCCTGCGTGTCGCTGACGGCGAGGCCGTTGAGCAGGTTGAAGAGCACGATGGCGATGAGGAAGACGAAGAGCACGAAGAGCACGTGGCTGGTGACGGGGAACGTGGGGAAGGGGATGGAGCCCGCGTCGAACTCGCCCGTCAGCATCACGATGGACTTGAACACGGACATGCCGGGGCTCAGGAACTGGTTCTCCTCGTCGTCCTGCTTGCACGCGCCGCCGCCGCCGCAGTCGCGGAACAGCGTGTAGAAGCTGAGCGCGAAGGCCACGATGAGGATGGAGTACCAGGCCAGGAACTTGAGGAAGTTAAGCGACACCGTCTTGAACATCTCGATGTTGGTGGCGAGCAGCGGGTGGCGGCCGATGAGGAGCACCAGCTCGGCCCACGACAGCAGGATGGCCACGGCGGACAGCTGCTGCCGGCTGGACGAGTCCGTCTGCCGCGACAGCAGCAGCACGGCCGTCACCACCACGAGCAGCGCCTCCATCCAGTTCTCGAGGCTCAGCACGTAGCGGTGCGGCGACACCACCAGCTGGAACAGCTCGCGCACCACCAGCAGCAGCAGGAACACGGCCAGCAGCACGGCCAGCGCCGGGCCCGCGCGCGCCGAGGCCACCGCGTCGGCCTCCCTGCAACACGGAACGCGGAGACGGTCAAGTTTGACGTGCGTGGAGTAGTTCAAATGCTTTACTGGATTCACTGTCAAGCCAAGGCCTGTTGCGGAATGATTCTCCACACTTGGAGGTGCGGAGTTTTCAGTCTCCACCGGTCTCCACACTTCAAGTGTCGAGTAGCTCGCACAGCCCCTGTCTCTTGACACGGTGCAAACGTGGAGAACTCCACAAATGAAGTGTGGAGACTGCAAACTCTGCACTTCCGAGTGCGGAGCCTGCAAAGTCCACCCCTCCGCATTCCAAGTGTGGAGTTGTCCGCACTTGGTTTCACAGTGTCTGGCCGGCACTCACCCCTTGGCCGAGGCGTTGCGCTGGGCCGCGCCCTGACCGGCGGGCGCGTTGCCGGACAGCGCCTCGGAGATGAGGCCCTGGTCGGGGCGCTCGCTGTAGCCCGTGAGCACGTAGGCCGTGAGCAGCAGCCAGAAAGCCACGTAGAAGGCGAGGTTGATGTAGAAGAAGGCGCGGATGCGCTGCCACTTGAGGTACAGGAAGCTGGTGATGATGGGGTGCTTGAGCAGGTAGCGCAGGTCGGCCGACTTGCTCATGTAGAGCAGCGGGTCCGTCTCGGCGGCGACGGGGCCGGCGGCGCGCCGCCCGCCCATGAGCCGCTTGGCGTCCTCGTCCACGCTCACGGCCACGTGGCTCTGCTGCTGCGGCGTGGGCTGCGGGCCGTGCGCCCCGGCCAGGAAGTGGTACTTGAAGACGACCTCGTAGTTGTCCTCGCGCGGCAGCAGGTCGTTGGTGGCGATGCACTCGTCCAGGTAGGCCTCGAGCGCGCGCGGCGTCACGTCGGCCAGGGGCGGCTCGCCGAAGCGGTTGCGCACGCCGATGTAGGCGCCGGCGCGCAGCAGCGCCGCCACCGCGTCCGAGTCGCCGTTGCGCGCCGCGTAGTGCAGCGCCGTGTTGCCCTTGAGGTCCACGGCGTTGACGTCCACGCCCTTGGCCAGCAGCACCTGCAATGCGGGGCAATGCGGACCGTTAGAGCTCTGCGGCGGCCAGCAGACTCCTCCGAGAGTCGCGTTTTCGTCGCGCTGTCTCTCTCGCACCTGCACGGGACGCCCCATGAGTGCGAGAGAGACAGCGCGACGAAAACGACTCTCGGAATGAGTCTGCAGCCGCTAAGTGCAGTGGTAAACGCCGCACAGTGGGCCAGAAGACCGGCGGGGGCGACCAAAACTTAAGACGCGTTTTGAACTCCAGAGTCACTAAATGGGACTCGAACCTAGCGAGTGACCCCACCAATGGATTCCTCGTTCGGAGAGCTATCCATTGGTGGGGTCACACGTCCGGTTCGAGTCCCATTTAGCGACTCTGGAGCTCAAAACGCGTCCGGGATCTTGACCGCCTCCATCGGTCCTCTGGCCCACTGTGCGCCGGCGGGCCCACGTACCTGGACACACTTGCGGTGGTCGCGGCCGGCGCGGCTGGACGCGAGCGACAGGCCGTCGTACTCGGCGGCCCCCTTGACGGCGGCGTGCAACGCCGTGTCGCCGTGGTCGCGCGCCTGCAGGTCGGTGCGCTCGGCGGCCAGCAGTGTGCGCGCCACGCGGTAGTAGCCGTGCAGGCAGGCCAGGTGCAGCGCGCTGCGCCGGTTGGCCGCCACCGTGCGGTTGGGGTCCGCGCCGGCCTCCAGCAGCGCGCTCACCACGTCGTGGAGCCCCACCTGCAGCAGGAGGCGGAGGCAGTGTCATTCCAGAGGCTGCACTGTGAAACCAAGTGTGGATAAAGAAACTTTCGCACTTGAAATGCGGAACACACTTCTAGTGTGATCTCCACGTTTGCTTGCACCAATGGACGCTGTGCTCTTGGCCTCTAGATTCTCAGTGCGGCAAGGCGGAACACACTTCTAGTGTGATCTCCACGTTTGCTTGCACCAATGGACGCTGTGCTCTTAGCCTCTAGAATCTAGATTCTGAGTGCGGCAAGGCGGTTTAGAGGCGATTAGCGCCGCAGCTGGCAGAGCCCGACCCATCGCAAACAGTGCGTACAGCGAGTGAACGCTTAGGGTTGCCATTTTCCGCGGCTCTAATCGATTTTCTATAAGATGATTCAGAATTTTGATCATTATGAATCGATTTTTGATTCGTCTTTTACGATCATGATTGAACCGACCAACCCTATGACAGCTTCCCGGCGGACCCACCCTCTTGCCTGACCCGCTCTGACTTCTTACCTCGCTGGCCAGCTGCAGCAGCGTGTGGCCGCCGTCGTCGGCGTCCAGGATGTCGGCCTTGGCGGCCTCGCCGCTCTTGCCCTGGGCGAGCGCGTCCAGGAAGGCGCCGCTCTCGCGGCTGTAGAGGTGGAAGAAGAGGCGGTCGGCGGAGAGCTCGGCGGGGCCGTCGGCGCGCGGCGGCAGCAGGCGCGCCAGCTGCGGGTACTTGGCCGCCACGAGCCGGCGCGCCGTCTCGCCCTTGGCGTCCTCGTAGTTGTCCACGTCCAGGCGGCTGCCGCCCGCCGCCAGCATGAGGCGCACCATGTCGGGCGTGGCGTGGATGGCGGCCAGGTGCAGCGCCGTGTGGCCCTTGCGGGTGGGCTTGTTGACGTCCACCTGGGGGTGCTGCATCAGCAGCTGCACGCACCTGCAGGGGGGAGCAAAGTTAGACGAGTGTCTTGGCACCTCCCCGTCGAGCAAGGAGCTTTGTGCGTGGACACTGTCAAACCAAGTGTGCGCTTCCAAGTGCAGAGACCGAAAGTCGAGGGGGGCGCCACTGGATGGGAAGGTGGACAATGACTTGAGACTAGATTGGCTGACTGTGACTAATTTCAATGGTGACTTTTTCGACTTGTCCTTAACTTTTTGACTTGTCTCTGACTTTCTGACTTTTGTACGGACTTTAAAGACTTTTTGGTGACTTTTTCGACTTTTTCAAGGCGTATCGTGGCGTTAACCCCTTGAATTTAGGCAATATCTCCCCAAAAGCTAGAAGAATTGATTGACTTTTTTTTGACTTTTTGAGTGGAGTGACTTTGACTTTGGATGACTTTTTTGACTGAAAAATTGACTTTTTCGGACCTTGGACAATGACTTTTGAGCGCCCCCTTCGCTGGAAGTCCCATGCCTCCGCGTTTCCAGTGTGGCGTTCTCCGCTCTCGGTTTCCCAGTGCACCCACCTGCGGTAGCGGTGCTGCAGCTCGCCCCTGCCGCTCTGCGCGTCGTGGGCGGCGTCCTCCTTGGCGGCGAGGTGCAGCGCGGTGCAGCCGGCGCTGTCCTGCTTGTTGACGTCCAGGCCCTTGGCCTGCAGCAGCTGCTCCAGCGACGCGGCGTTGCCGGCCTCGGCGGCCAGGTGCAGCGGCGCCTTCTTGCGCACGCGGTTGACGCGGTTGGGGTCGGCGCCCGCCTCCAGCAGCACGCGCACGTACTCGGCGCGCCCGTCGTCGCGCGCCGCCAGGTCCAGCATGGTGGCGAAGTTGGGGTCGTCGAACCAGTGGTCCGGGTCCACCTCGGGCGGCGAGCCTGCGCACGGACAGGGGAAAGGGGCTGTGAGTTGGAACACAGGGGGAGGTCTGTGCTCTGTGCGCCGCCACCCGGGCGCCTGCGAACGCTGGATAGGCAACCCGCGACTGCGCTGTGCGTTGATGTGCCTACCTCGCAGGCGGTTGCCCGAGCGCCTGCGATCGTCGGGTAGGCAACCCGCTCCACGCGCGTGTGCGCTGTGCGGTGCCTTGCCTACCTCGCAGGCGGTCGCCCAGGGAACTTGAACTTGAGCGACTAGACCACGTTTTCCGTTTCGGGCCCGGTCACTGCCATGCTTGCATCGCACAACTTGGCGGGAAGACTTGCGAGGCGTCACCTCATTTGACAGTGTGCCGCCCTGCTTACCCGAGAGCAGCTCGCTGAAGGTCTCCAGGTCCTGGTTGCGGTAGGCCGACGCCAGCTGGCTGCTTGGGTCCGGCGCGCGCAGGCTGAAGGAGCGGCACAGCGACAGGCCGCTGGCCGGGCCGCCGTTCTCGCGTCGCGGGGACGTCATCTCGAGGTCCTCCACCGTCAGCTTCTTGTCCATGGCGGGGGCGTCACGGCGTCACCTGTCGGGCAGAGAGGACGCCGGTTAGTCCGGATGCATAGTCGCAGTGGTGGTATTCAGAGAAAGGGGCGGCAAGTGCGTGGGGAACGCACAGTGGGCCAGAAGACCGGTGGAGGCGGCCAAAACTCTAGACGCGTTTTGAGCTCCAGAGTCGCTAAATGGGACTCGAACCGAACGTGTGACACCACCAATGGATTCCTCGTTCGGAGAGCAATCCATTGGTGGGGTCACACGTTCGGTTCGAGTCCCATTTAGCGACTCTGGAGCTCAAAACGCGTCGAGAGTTTTGGCCGCCTCCACCGGTCTTCTGGCCCACTGTGGAACGGGAAGGCACTGTCAAACCAAGGAGAACTCCCACACTTCCTGGTGCGGAGTGATTATCCACGTCGCGACGTGTGTAGGTGGAGTTTGCGCTTGCAGCTTCAAGTGTGGAGCCGCTCTCAGAGACCCTATCTCTTGGCATGGTGCAAACGTAGAGAACTTCACACTTTAAGAACGCAGACATGCAAACTCTGCACTTCCGAGTGCGGAGACTGCAAAGTCCACACCTCCGCATTTCACACGCTCGGTTTCACAGTGTGTGCAGGGCGCCGCCGCCCCCGCAGTCGATTAGCTAATGGGGCGCCGGCCGGTCGCTCCGTCTCTCTCACTCGCGCCTCTGCGGCCGTGAGTGCGAGAGAGACGGAGCGACGCGGCGTGCTGCTGGGTGTGCCGGCCCGTTGTCTGCGCCACGGGGCAGTGAATCAAGGCGCTCCCCGCTCCAGCCGCGCCCCACCGTGCCCATCCCGCCTGCAGTGTCGTCGCCGGTGGGCCCACTGGTTACTGGTCGACGTCGACGCACTGCAGGCCGCGGAAGCGACGCTGGACTCGTTGCGAGCTCCAGTTTCTGTCACCGGGACACGAATCGATCACTCGATGATCCGCGTTGAATAGAGCAAGCCAGTGACATTGTCACGTGTTTGACTCGGGGACTGCACTGAAAAACCAAGAGTGGGGAACCCCACATTTCATTTGAAATATGGAAGTGCGAAATTTTCATTCTCCGCCCTTGAAAGTGGAGAGTTCGCAGTCTCCACACTTCAAGTGTGAAGTTCTCCATGTTTGCACCATGCCATGAGATAGGGGCTCTCTGTGAAATCCACACTTGAAGCGTGGAGACTGATCCTCCATACGTCCATGTGTGGAGAATTACTCTGCTCCAGAAAATGTAGAGTTCTCTTCACTTGGTTTGACAGTGGTCTGTCCACTCCTGGGTGAATGAAGTTTGAACAACGGGGCTGCTGGCCCTCTGTGCCAGTCGGTCTGTTTGCAGTGTGGGGCCCAGCCGCCACGCCGCCACGTGTCTTCATTGCGGGTGCTTGAAATCGATTACCGCCTGTAAGTGGCCCGTCGACCGATTCCGAGCGTCGTCCTCGTCGCTCTGCCCTCCTCGCACCTACACAGGGCGCCCCGTGAGTGCGAGAGAGACAGAGCGACGAAAACGACTCTCGGAATCGGTCTGCTGGATGGCCTGGATGCCGCGGGCTAGGTGGGGGCGGCCCGGCCGGCCTGGTGGTGTGAGTGGCCGAGTGGCTCGATGCATGACAGCGCCTTGAATATTTCAGTAGCGCACATTATCTGATAAGGCGCTTTGGGGAAGGGGCGTGCACCGCACACGCGTGCGGGTGTGTACAGTGTACGCCCCGGGGCTCGCTCCAAGGTCTGCCCGCCCGGTCCTTGCGGCAATTTCGCTGCTTTTACTTTTTACATAATTATTCTCGGAATTTTCCCCTTTTTTGGCCTGGCACGTACGTTGCGTAACACGTTAAGGGTTTTTAAATGTCACCTTTCTCCTCGGCGTTCCATAATCACTAACTAACAGTAAGCTGCTTGTTTTTGTTCGGCTTGTTTTTGCTTTGTGTTCGGCTTGTTTTTGTTTTGTTCTCGGCGTGTTAAACGTTGCCTCCCTGCGGAGTGGGTCCATCTGTTGCGTACGGTTTGTCGTGCAAACGAGGCGCGGCCCACCGAACGGTCCGACGTCGGCCTGCGGACTGATTCCGAGAGTCGTTTTCGTCGCCCTGTCTCTCTCGCACTCATGGGGCGTCCTGTACAGGTGCGAGAGAGACAGCGCGACGAAAACGACTCTCGGAATCAGTGTGTGCTGCTCCCCGGATGGACAGTGATTGATATTCCCTGCAGGGCTCCTCGGCTCCCTGCGACCTTCCGGGCCGCACACTGATTCCGAGAGCCGTCGCTCTGTCTCTCTCGCACTCATGGGGTGACCCGTGTGGGTGCGAGAGAGACAGGGCGAGACTCTCGGAATGTGCCCCTCTTGCCCCTTTGCGGTCTGGCACGCGCACGCGCACGCGCTGTAGGGCGTCCGTCCGGCCCGGCGTGGCGCGTGCCGCGAGTTGGCTTACATACTCAGCTTTTGATGCCTACACTCGAAATCGGTTGGCGGTACACATGGCATTGCAAAGACGGCAAGCTCTTATCTGTCTTTACCGCCTTCCTATCGGCCGCAAAACCATAACGTCGCCAATAAACGATTACCGCATGTCGATTTGGCAAGGGGACTCCTCGTCCTCCTCCTCGTCCTCCTCCTCCTTCGCCTCCTCGTCCTCCTCCTCGTCCTCCTCCTCGTCCTCCTCCTCGTCCTCCTCCTCGTCCTCCTCCTCGTCCTCCTCCTCGTCCTCCTCCTCGTCCTCCTCCTCGTCCTCCTCCTCGTCCTCCTCCTCGTCCTCCTCCTCGTCCTCCTCCTCGTCCTCCTCCTCGTCCTCCTCCTCGTCCTCCTCCTCGTCCTCCTCCTCCTTCGCCTCCTCGTCCTCCTCCTCGTCCTCCTCCTCCTTCGCCTCCTCGTCCTCCTCCGTCCTCCTCCTCGTCCTCCTCCTCCTTCGCCTCCTCGTCCTCCTCCTCGTCCTCCTCCTCCTTCGCCTCCTCGTCCTCCTCCTCGTCCTCCTCCTCCTTCGCCTCGTCCTCCTCCTCGTCCTCCTCCTTCGCCTCCTCCTTCGCCTCCTTCTCCTCCTCCAGTGCCCGTTCCTCTGCGCCGTGCCGTGCCGTGCCGCGCCACGCCCCAGTACGTGATGTGGGCCGAGGGCGCCGAGGGCGCCGAGGCCCTTGCTAGGGCCGCCTCGTCAAACACTGGCCGCGCGCAATAAGTGCAGCGCCCTGCAGTCTCCGCGGCCCCTCCCTCCCGCAGGCTGCTCCCGTCGCTCTGTCTCCCTCGCACCCGCACGGAGCGCCCACCGAGTGCGACAGAGACGGAGCCATCTCGTCCGAGAGCAGCCCTGCCGCGTCTCGCTCTCGTCCGCCTCGATCTGGAGCAGCAGGTCCACGCTCAAGTCCTACAGTGCAGGACGCGGCCCGTGGAATGAAGGCGGCCGGGGGAGGGGGGGGGGTCAAAGGTCGCGTGTGTGATCCGCATGACCGTAAGGGGCCGTCCCTCAGTGACGGCGAGACAGTCGCTTTCGGTCATAGCGACGCGCCACTGGCAGGACAGGACAGCACACTGCTCGCTGGCCCGCCTCGCCTCCGCACAGTGGGCCAGAAGACAGGTGGAGTCGGCCAAAACTCTAGACGCGTTTTGAGCTCCAGAGTCGCTGAATGGGACTCGAACCGAACGTGTGACGCCACCAATGGATTCCTCGTTCGGAGAGCAATCCATCGGTGGGGTCACACGTTTGGTTCGAGCGCTGTTTAGCGACTCTGGAGCTCAAAACGCGTCTAGAGTTTTGGCCGCCTCCGCCGGTGTCCTGGCCCACTGTGCTCCGCCCCGCCAGAGTGTGGAACAGTGGAAGTCGTACGCTACGACGGCGAACCGCCAACATCCGCTTTGAGCTCTGAGGGCTTCTGGAGCAGCGAGCTGCACGCCCGGAGCCCTGAGCCCTGCGGCACGCCGTGCCGTGCCCCGTCTTCCGGGACCCGAAATAACACTTTTTATTTTGATCCCGTTTCGAGTCACGGAGTCGGCAGACCCGCCCCGCCCCGCCCCGCCTCGCCCCGCCTCGCCCCGCCTCGCCCCGCCTCGCCCCGCCTCGCCCAGCCATCGCGGTGAGAGGATACGGCAGGGATTAGCAGCCGACACGACGGACGGACGTGGCCGCCGAAAACGGCCTGCAGAAAACGAACGGGGCTGCCTTCACTTTTATCGGCCGCCTCTGCAGTCCATGGACGTCTCGTCTGCCGTGGGCCGTGGGCTGGGCCCTTAGCTGGGAGACTTAGCTGGAGCCTCAGCTGGAGCCTCAGCTGGAGCCTCGGCTGGAGCCTGAGCTGGAGCCTCAGCTGGAGCCTCAGCTGGAGCCTGAGCTGGAGCCTCAGCTGGAGCCTCAGCTGGAGCCTCAGCTGGAGCCTGGAGCTTGAAAAGTGCATCCAAGTGGCCATTCGCACCCGCCGGTTCAACGCCCAACCCCTCCCTCCCCCTCCCCTCTCCGGCTTGCGTCCGTGTCATTCCTGCGCGTTTTCGAACTGGCTGCTTTACGGTCCTTTTACTGGAGGCCGCGTCGTGAAATTGCCCCAAATTGGTCGCTTTCGGAAATAACAGCGATCGGGCTGCGCCGCCGCTGCGCCGCTGCGCTGGAGCCGAGCCGAGCTAAGCTGGAGCCGATCGGATGGCCCATTACTTTTCGGTAGTCGGACGGGCGGCCGTGGCGGTGTGAGCGTAAACGCGCGGCGCCTGCACACTGACTCAGAGCCGTACATTGGGAGAGAAGCGAAAGGCCTGTTCGTGCCTCCCATTGGCTGCGGCGTTTCGGCCATGTTTGCTTTGGCCGGAAGCGCGCCAAAATCGCGATGTTTGAATGTGGCTAAGCGGCGCTGTGGTCGCAATGCTATCGCAGTGGTTAGATGGGTTGTGAGTGAAGGTCGTGTGACGAAAGAGTCGGACCTTGGTCGTTTGGCAGTGTAGTTTAGTGCCCTTCGGTTATTTTAACTGTTTTGGCTATATGGTGACCGGCAATAGGTTAGGTGAGTGGCACTGTCGCCGTCAGTACTTATGGTCAAAGAGGGCTGCGATTCAACAGGCGG